AAACTTCTTTTTTCTACTGACAAAAAGGTGATTCCATTGATATTTAGTGATCAGGGAGACGATTCTGCAGCAAGTAGGAATAGTCGATCTCTAGTGGACTTATAGTCAACGGTTCAGGATATCGAATGGAGAAAAAAATGGCCTGAATATACCATTTATTTACACGCGATTGCGTTGTTTTTGACGTAACGCGATGATACTTGCAGAATGCGATGACGAAAGCCAGTATTCTAAACTTCCTTCTTTGCTACAGAATCGTCTCCCTGATCACTAAATATCAATGGAATCACCTTTTTGTCAGTAGAAAAAAGAAGTTTCATTAGCTTTGTATTAGGGTCTATAAGACGGCAATAGTGATTTTTGAGCTTGTTATTATCATTCAAGCGAACGCGTTACCAATTTTAGCCGAAGCGCATTGGATGATTAGGTATGGGTGTAGACACAATATGAAAGAAGTGTCATACCCATATCTAAAACGCAAAACAAAATCTAATTTTTAACTTATTTTCCTAAGAAAGCATGGCTGCTGCTGCGATACCTGCCGATGTATCTTGTGCAACACCAGATGATATGCATCTGGAAATGTTCTGTGTTGTTTGGCTTGATAGTAGCTCGGACAATAAAGATTGTCATGATACTGAACAACAATTACGTTCGATTATCAATCATTTGAAGAAGTTTCAAGATGTTGCATCCTGTGAAAAGTACATTCATGCACAAGTATCGCAAGAACGAATCGTTATGATCGTCAGTGGTCGATTGGGACGCGAAATCGTACCTATTATTCATCATCTTCGACAAATCATATCGATATATGTATATTGTATGGATAAAGAAGATAGCAAAATATGGGCTCGAGACTACAGAAAAGTAAACGAAAATTGAAAATGATCTAGATTTCATTTTTATTATTTATTTATAGGTAAAAGCGATTGTTGTTGAACTTGACGAGCTCGTCTCTCTAATTCAAGTTGATCATAAAATTCAGAAAAAGGTCGAAGAACCTCTATCAATTAATATATTTACTACAGGTACATCAACAACCGGCTTAAATAGCGATTTTCTCTTTTCACAAGTCTTCATGGATTGTCTTACGAAGTTGCAATATACTGAAGCTGACAAAGAAGAATTGATTGATCTTTGTAAACAACAATATAAAGGTAATCGTGTTGAATTGAGTAATATCCATGAATTTCAAGAAGAGTATTCATCTAAAAATGCTTTGTGGTGGTATACACGAGAATCATTCTTTTACAAGACACTTAATGCTGCTCTTCGTGAGCTAGATATTCATACAATATTTCTTTTTCGTCAATACATTACTGATATTCAAAATCAGTTGAAAAACTATCAACTGCATAATTTTGTTCGATTTTATCGCTGTCAAAGAGTAG